TATCTATCTATCTATCTATCTATCTATCTATCTATCTATCTATCTATCTATCTATCTATCTACAATGAATTTCTTAAATTTCTTAAATATTTGACCAAAACTTACTGGTAATCCTGGAAATCCCCCCTGTCCTAAGAGTCCTGGAAGACCTGGCTCACCCTGGATGAAAGAAAAAGAGAAGATGGCAAGAAAGGCACTCTCAAGGGTCTCCAGGTAGCACGCTCTGTTACTCCATGTCTACATCCTACTCCAAATGCATCAGAGCTACTAGTTTACTTATGTTTGCAACTTGCATCTTAATGTTATTAATTTCTGTTTCATTCTTACCTTTGTCCCATTGCATCCTGGTATACCTGGAGCTCCATGAGGACCAGCATTTCCAGGTTCACCCTGAAAGTATTTACAAGATTGTCAAAATAACCATCAATACCATTTCAAAGAACTCAGAGCATACTTTCGACTTTGGCAAGCACTTGGCTTATGAAAGTTGGATGTAATACATATATTTTTTTCTGAAAAGTTAGAAATAAAAATAATAAGATGCCTAACTAAATGCAAATATCCAGATTGGTTCAATAAATGTTATTATACTTACTGGAAGACCTGGAGGACCAGAGTAACCAGGAATTCCTGGCTTACCCTAAGGATAAAAGAATGAGAGAAGAGAACAACACATTGCACTAAGAATGGATTTAAAACTTAATCATTCAATGTGATTTTAAAATACGGGTAGTCCTCAACTTACAGCAGTTCATTTAGAGACCATTTGAAGTTACAACAACACTGAAAAAAGTGACTTATGACTCTTTTTCACACTTTAAACAACCAATGGTAAACAACCATTACAGCATCCCCATGGTCACATCAAAATTCAGATGCTTGGCAACCGACTCATATTTATGACAGTGACTTGAGGTCATGTGATCACCTTTTATGACCTCTTGACAAGCAACTTAATGAGAAAGCCAGATTCACTTAGAAACCATGCTAAGTGATTCACTTAACAATTGTGGCAAGAAAGATTGTAAAATGAACAACAATCTCACATATCAACAGAAATTGTGGGGTCCATTGTGGTCATAAGTTGAGGACCACCTGTATATTAAACAAACAGTTCATTCATTCCAATTATTATTAAAATTTCTTAGAATCCTTTAAAAGGTGCCAACTGAAGTTGCAAGCAAAATGACTGTCATCCCCCAGGAGTGAAACCATCCAGGGACAGCTGTTTTGCAGGCACCTGACAAAGAGCCACTGTTTGGAGTCCCTGTGGATGATCTCCCATCTTCTTATCCAGAGAGATTCCAAAGAGATGATGTATTCACCAGCTCTTTATTCTTTGCCATAGTCATTGGCTCTGCTTTTGCAGCGCCATCTGTAATTCCACCATTTCTTCCTTTGGAAGCATTTTATTGCATTTAGGTTTTAGTTTGCTACAATTTAACAGCATGTCCCATTACAAGCAATGGAATGTCCCCAATTTTTGATATTGTGTCAATTATTTTTAAATGCTGATTATTATTTTTAATATAATAAAATACCAACCCTTGAACCTTTAACTCCAGCAGGACCTACTGGCCCTGAAAAACCCTACAAAGCAAAGGAAAGTAGAATTAATTTGATTAAAATATTATCTTTATGCAGAAAGCTCAAATATGCATTTTATGTGTTTTTTCTATGTTATATTCTAATCTCATTTGCCAGATAGGTATTGTAAGACCAAGTGAGAATCACCGAAGTCATTTAACATTTAAATAATAAAAACCCATGTCTGTCCTTTAAATCTCTTAGGATGCTATCTATCACCTCAACTATCTTTTTCTCTGCAGGCAGGGAACATTGGATCCCCAATTTTTATTATTTAAGATTACTTATAGGACTTATGTGAAACTTATAGACACCAGTGCAAAAGATTGGCAATATAAAAGCAATAGCGGTAAAAAAATGTTCTGTAATAAAATTAAATTTTCATAGTCAGAAAATGTTCTGTATTTTACAACTGTACAGCAACTTTTAACTGATACCAGATCTGCTTTCTGATGTTAAATGGTCCATGGGGTCCACCCATAAGTTAGCTACTTAAATTCAGTCTTTAATATATTCATTTATTAATTGAGCAAATGCTGAATTAATAGGACCAATACATGCAATATCCCTAGCAGGTGTTATTCTAGTTGAGTAATGAAACACCTGAAAAAATCAGGCAAGATCAGAAGTCATCAAAGTTGAACAGTTCAACAGTTCGTTCTCTTCTAGAAGTGTTTGTGGATGGGAGATAAATATCTTCTATTGGAGGTATTTATCCTCTAATTACAAAAACACATATTTTATTGGAAGGAAAAACAATAAAGAGTCACATCAAGGATATAAGATTAAGGGACATGAAAAACAAGTGATAGTTTCTCTGTGGTCTAATGCATCAAATGACAGAAAACAGTAAAAATGAAGCGATTTTTGTTAATGTTGTTCAAACATCTAATATTGAAATCAGTAAGATTTTAGAATGTCTTCTATAGAATTAGTCTAATTTCTGTATCACAGTTAAATAAGGTTGTTACTTATTTTTGCTAAACAGTTGCTGTTGACAGATCTGAATTAAATAATGTGGCAAAAAACGTACCCATTTTTTCATTATTTGTTCAGTTTATCCAAAGAATCAAAATTCATTTATTTACAGAGCATTTAAGAGTTCATACCCCATTTGAGCGAGGCACATTTTTGAAAACATCCCATGATAGAAGTACGATGTATTTTAAATGCTAAGCAGGTACACTTTACAGAGTGGATAGAACAATTGTAGATGGGCATTGTATTTACTGATGAACTCTCTTTGCTGTATATAGCCTGGAAATGAAATGTTAGATGTCAGGTCCATTGTCAAGCTCATATAGAAATGGAAATGGCAGAATGGAAAGTGAAGTTTCTTGCACCTCTCAGCTCCTCTGAATTGGATCCACTTGTGAAGCATTCAATTGGCTATTTTATTATGGTGTCCTTGTTGCTCTTTAAGCTTCCTGGTTTTCTTGCAGACGTTTCATTACCAAACTAGATAACATCATCAGTGATAGCCCACAGTTCAACCCTGTTATAAATATTCTCTTCTATCAGCTATTTTATTGCTCAAGTTTATAATACAGGAATATTCCCAGATTATCAGTTAGCATCTGGACCAGACTTGGGCCAGAATGGCATTCAAGGTGGGGGAAGTAGGACTTTGTCCTCTTTTGCCCAAATGGGGGTTCCATGATTGACTCCTACCCATGACTCGTGACTTTGGCAATGAATTATGCATACAGAAACATTTTCAGCATTATCTAAATCATCAGTAATTCACTCATTGATATGCAATCATAGTAGATTATAAATACCTTAGGTCCTTGTGGTCCAGGAGGACCTTCTGGGCCATGGAAACCCATCTGGCCAGGTAGACCAGGGTAACCAGGCAAGCCCTTTTCTCCCTGTAAACAGAATTTAATGATTTAATACTTTATTTTTAGTTATTCTAGAAACTTAGTATAGTGCTATTCATTGTGTAACTCGTTAAATATATACTCATGTAGATAATAAAAATACATCTAGGCAGAAGATATCTATACATCAAATAAACTGGAAGCATTCTGCTTTGTATAATTCATCACATAAGTACATGAATACATATATGTGAAAACTCATATCAAACAAAGATGCCGTTCTTAAAATGGACATACAAGAATGTGTATATTGGAATGCTATATTGGAAATAAGAAGAGTTTCATTAACTTTCATTATTAGGTAGATAAAAATTATGCAAGCTATTCGGTACCTATTCTAAGAAGAAGCCTACTAAAAATAAATTCAAGACTAGAGCACCAAGAAAGATCTACAATATTTCAAAGAGAACATTGTATGGTCAGATGTTCTCATTTCAAGAGGACATCTAATGATAATCAGAAATATAACACCTCTACTGTTAAATAGACAGAGTTTTGAAACCTTATGGAGGGTCTTAATGGAATTTAATACATGTTCCAATGCAAAAAAAGTCTATCGCACAGTAAAGAAAATACAGTATCTCCGCATCCCTTGAGAATTTCTGGTGGTACCAAAGGAACTGGATGGTGGAATTCTGGTTCGGATATAAAATAATAAAAGCCACTGTACAACAATGTGTATGTTTTCATGGTCTCTGTTACTCTCTCTACCTGGGATCTCTACAAACCATGGCACTCCCTCCCTCCCTAAGAATTATGGCTGAACGTGGCTGTGGAAGGTATTGATTGATTTAAACTATTACGTGCCAGCAAATTAGTCTCGAATCAAACACCACATAGACAAAACTTCTCCAGAATACCCTATCCTCAATGTGCCCCTTCAGTCCTCCAATTGTGTACTGTGCATTTTCCTCCACTGCATGAAATGAAGCATTTGCCATTGTAAGTAAAGAGACTACCCACCTCCTCCAACACCTTCCTACTTTATATAGTGCCTGGTTGCTTTGTCTGGGCAACTGGGATGACTCCACTAGAAATCTATACTCCCAGGATTCTTTTCTCATTATTCCATGTACCATCCCTCCCTCCCTCCCTTCCTCCCTCCCTCCCTCCCTCCAGTATCTTTATGAGGCTGCAGGACTTGTGGGGGGGGGGGGCGCGAAAGGTCTTTTTTCCATTAGATTCTAATTTTGTTTTGGGGGTTTGGGTTGGGTTTTGTTTTGTGTTGTTCATCCATGTAATGCAACTAAAGTAGAGGTACATTCAATCCCTTTTTTTCTTCCAATTTTACATATTTAATGATTTCTAATTCACTAAGGGTGCCTCTTTGAATCATGCTTGCATGCTTAGCTAATTTTGCTTCATCTCTCTGAAATGTTTACTTATTTAATTGCCAACAGAATGCCAGTGCAATCATCTTGCTCTGCTTCCTTGGTATGATATGATTTACTCATGTCAGTATTATAAATTAGATTTCAGTTATTTTTAAATGCCCATTTTGGGGAGATGTGCTCATTCTTTGGTTGAATGTCTGCAACATACGGAAGCTGTTTAATCAGCATAGCAACATTGTATATTGTAGAATTGCTGGATGCGAATTTAGAATTGCTATGGTATTTTGCTAAACTAATGTGCCTGCTCAACATTATTATTTTCTGCATTTTGGGATATTGTGCTATCCCAGAATTCACCACTTGGGGGTGTATGTTATTGTCTCCAGTAGACAAAAACTATTCTTCTGCAATAAAGATTCATAAAAGATATTTGAGAAACTATAACTTCGAACATTATCTAAACCTATTTTTAAATTTTTGAGGATTACCTCTATCATCATGCTTTAACCTCTACTACAAAATCTTTTTTTTTCTTTTAGGGATATATTTGGTGACTAAGAATGATAGTTGGACGTAACCATGCAATATTGAAAAATTCCCCTACTGAAAGGGGAAATCAGAGAGAGTTCAAGCAACCAATTACTTTAGTGTGCTTGCTAATTAATATACCTTATTTATTTTATTTTATTTTATTGTGTGAGACAAGGTTTTTCACTGAATAAAATCACACAGTTGGAAGGGACCTTGGAGGTCTACTAGTCCAACCCCCTGCTTAGGCAGGAAACCCTACACCACTTCAGACAAATGGATATCCAACATCTTCTTAAAAACATCCAGTGTTGGAGCATTCACAACTATTATTGTTGCAATAATAATTCCCCATAAGACTGGAAGAATTGCAATCAGACCCTGACTTCAAAGGTGGTTTCAGCCGCACAAGGTAGACAAGACCAAGAAACCAATGCCATGTACATCTAAAACCAATCTAATAAAACTATAGTGACAGCATCTTGCAAGCCTGAATATGCTTCACTCCCTTCGTCACTTTATTGCCAAGTGAATTAGGAAGGGGCTCTTCTGAGACATTTTCTCAAATAGGTTTCTTAGAAAGGACGCAAGCCAGTGGTGGGATTCAATTTTTTTTACTACTGGTTCTGTGGGCATGGCTTGGTGGACGTGGCATGGCTTGGTGGAGGTGGCTTGGTGGGCTTGGCAGGGAAAGATACTGTAAAATCTCCATTCCCTCCACACTCCAGGGGAAAGTTAATGCAAAATCCCCATTTCCTCCCAATGAGCTGGGACTCAGGAGGCAGAGAATAGATGGGGGTGGGATCAATCAGAGGTGGTATTTACCAGTTCTCTGAACTACTCAAAATTTCAACTACCCGTTCTCTAGAACTGGTCAGAACCTGCTGAATACCACCTCTGATGCAAGTTCTGCTTGACTAAATATCACTTTGGTAACAGCTCTAAGACCCATCCTTTCGGGTTATTCTCCTTACTCTTTGCAAATGGAAACTTAACCTTTTGCTGCTGAAGATAGCCTTTTTTTCTGTTGGGTCCATCCTTTTATGACCACAAAGGTGCTTCATCATAAGGTTATCTATTATTGTGCCCCCTGCCAATTCTGCAAATGTTAAATATTGTTTTAAAAATACTTGTATTTAATTGCGTAGCTTAAAGTACAATATATCTGTACTACTGTTTCATTTAATTAATATTTCTTATACTTCCAGTTGGAGTTTCCTTCAATATTTTTGGCCAGTAATGCATTTTTCTTCTTTTCCAGGAAAAGGACATTGCTATTTATGTATAGGAAATCCATTTTTTTTAAATATAGTTCTTACCTTACTGCCTTTAATTCCATCACAAAAGCACTGGTTTTTGCTGTTGCAGATACAGTTCTAAAAATGAAAATACAAAGATTATCATTTATATTCTCATCAAATATTTGCAAACCAAACAGTGGTGGAATTCAAAAAAAATTACTACTGGTTCTGTGGGCATGGCTTTGTGGGCGAGGCAGGGGAAGGATAGTGCAAAATCCCCATTCCCTGCCCATCCCACTAACCTGCTTTCCAGCTCCATTCTCCTGTTCAGGGCAACAAAAGAAGATCAACTGGGAGACTGGGAGACAGTAGGGGCAGGGCCAGCCTATTTTCTGGTTCTGTGAACTACTCAAAATTTCCACTAGCACCTCTGAAACCAAACCACTCCCCCCCCCAATGTCATATGGTTTCTTATCTTTCTTACTGGATGGTTTCATATATTACTAAACTGTGTTTTGCACAACTCTTCTTTGTTCAATAATTTTCTGAATTTGTACACCATTCTTAGCCATAAACATGACATACCATACCATACTATAGTACAGGAAGGAAAATGGCTACAGGATAAAGTAGTAAGCTCTAAAACATGCTGTAGGAGAAAAGCCATGGCACAGCACATAAAAAAATATTCTTCCATAGTCCACTAAGTCTGCAATGGGTGCAAAGAACTCTCTGCTTTCTAGTTCATCAACTGTACTTGTTGCTGAAACAACACTTGGGATTCACATCTATTTGAAATTAATGGTCATTTGGATGCTTTATCATCAATAAGTGGGTCATAGTCAGTTATAGATCTCCATCCTTGTCAGCAGAAAGCAATTCTATTCATGTGCTGACTCAATGCCTTGTGGCTGTGAAGGTCTGGGTGGGAAGGAACTATGTAACTCAATCCTAATAAAGAATGTTATGGGGTTTGAGGCCTTCTAGATCTTTGACTCCTGATAGCACTCCTGCAGACAGGGCTTCAGTCCAGCATTTCAAAACAACACAAGTAAATATAACTATCTCTGTCATGCGTCAGAACTAAGTATTGGCTTACCTTCATATAATATTGTAATATTAGAGGAAATCACGGAACAAAAAATCAAGTTGAAACCGGAATTATTCTTACTAGGCATAATAAGAGCAAATTGATGTAAGAAAACTCAGTATATTATACTCCACATGACAATCGCGGCCCAAATTACATACGCACAAAACTGGAAATAGGACAACACCTCCCTCTGAGGGAATGTTGATTAAAAAGCTACTTGATTGTGCAGAGATGAACATGTTAACTATGGAACTAAAATACAGAGAAGAAATGGAATATTATACCCTGTTTCCCTGAAAACAAGACCTCCTCGGATAATAAGCCCAATTGGGCTTTTGAGCGCATGCGCTAAAATAAGCCCTCCCCCCCAAAATAAGCTCTCCCTGAAAATATTGCAAAGCAGCATCAGACACGAGGTGACCACGCTCGCCGCCTCCTGCACCTCAAAAATAATAAGACCTCCCCGAAAATAATGCCAAGTGCTTATTTCAAGGGTCCAAAGACATTAAGACCCTGTCTTATTTTCGGGGAAACACGGTAGGATTTGGGACATATGGTACAAATGGCTAGGGAATAGATGTAAAGATCATACATAAAGGTTATTTAAGAGTTATGTTAAGGTGAAAGGGTAATATATATATATATATGAATATTGATATAATTTTAAGCTAAAAGGTAATATATACACATATAAATATTTATATAATATATAGAAGAGCGATGTATATAATTGGAAAACAAGAATAATGAAATAACCGCTATGTAATTGTGAGAGATACCGATACTGGAGCACTGTAAAAGATTGAAAATGTGGTGTAAATGATGAAATATGTTCAATAAAAATATTTTAAAAAAAGAATATTGTAATATTAATTAGGTTCTTTAAAGATTTGTGAAAGTGGAGTGTCAGATTGGTGAAGACAATTAACCAGTTGAGATTTGTGGAAGTAAATATTAACAAAAACAAAAACCCTATCATGTCTTTATTCCTTGGTAGCTGACAAAAATGTAAAATATATAATGGGACATATCTAAAAATATAAGATTTTCTTGTTTCCTTTTTTATGTTTTTTCCTCCATTTTTTCTGCCTTAGAAGAAATGAAAAATGAAAAATTCTATCATATCAGTTACTAATTTAGGCATAGCAGTAAGGACATACATAAAACTCTAATTCTTCGTTGCAGATGTGGGTTGTTCCCAGTTCGGCCTGGTTCAGCCGAACTGGTAGTGGCAGTGGCAGGAGACTCTGCCCACCCACCTGAATGCTTCTGCACATGCGCAGAAGCATCGCGCACACGAGAGAGCATGCATGCACATGAGCGAACCAGTAGTAACACCGATACAAGCCCACCATTGCTTTGTTGGCACCTAATTACCATTAAAACAATGTAGCCCAGATAAGTCCCTCTCTGATGGTCTGCAGTGAGCCTTGAATGCCTCGAGTTTAACACCTTCAACAATAGATCGTTAGAACATCTGATAGCCAATGTTTGGTTTGTTTGTTGATCTTGCTTAGCCATGAACATGGACTTCATCTTTACTTTGTTCTGCTAGCCCAGGAAAGTTTTTCTTAAGCAAAAAGGAAGAGGAAAAAAAATGTGTCCATGAAAGCTAGTGCTTCTCTAATGAAGTCTAAAGTCCTGGTATTCCCTGGAAATCACCCAGCCAGGCCTGCCCTTGATTAGCATTCAGGTCAAGTCAGGCAGCTGCTATCTGCTGAGACAAGCAGAATATAACAGAATTCTTCAACTTGATGCTTTTCATTATATTAAACTAGATTTAGTTTGCATGCTCCAACACATCAAAAGGATCACAATCTGGAGAAGGCTGATACCTTAACAATATAACCAATACAGGAATAATTTATGCAAACAAAATGACTATAATATTAGAAACATAGTCTTCTGTTGAGCTACAGAGGCCTCACATTATCGGACTAGCAAGAAAACATATCTGTAAACCTGCACAATGTAAATCAATTGTCCAGTTCTCATCTCCGGCACTCTTTCTTTTCCCTCCCATTTTCATTTTAACAGGCAACAGCAAAGATAGTCAGCAACAGCTAGCTACCTAGCCAGAGCCACACAGATAGGTCTGCTTTCTGCCTTTCTGAAAATAGTTTGGACATGCTTAGAGAGAATTTGCAATTGCACTTGGCATAGTTTCCTAGTATATCTATGATAGGTTCCTCAAAAAACATCTTGTGTACGGCTCATTCAATCTGCTTATTCAATTGATTGATTTTGATCAATCTTTATAACATTTTTGCCCTAATAGAGTTCAAAGTTTCCAAGAGCAAAATAAAATAAAATGCAAGGGAAATATAAATCAGGTGATTGAATCAGTAAAACAAAATTCAGTCTCTGGAACAAAATTCACATTCAAATTAAATGCCTTTCATACTTTGGCAAAATGAATTTGTTCTTGGCTTAATCTAATATGTAGAGCTTGAAAGATAAAGGGCAGGTGTGCTGGGCACGTTGACCCTGACTTCCAGGGGTGGGGGAGAATTGGGGGGAAAGGTAATAATTACAATGATATCTCTCTTATATTGCAATTATAACGAATCTTTTCAGGGGTCTTTGTCTGTTAAAGAAGGGATACATATTTTACTGAATTCTAACTCCCAGCATCATTGGTTGTTCTACAGGGACACGTGAGACCAGATATTTAGCAACTTCCAGATGCCACAACCTGCCCATTCCTGTAAGTCTAAAGAATTTGTGTGTGAGAAACAAATATTTTCTAAAGCACATACTTCTTGTGATAAACTTTGCTTTGAAAGCCACTCAAGATAAGGGGTCACTTAACCCAACTGGCAGACAAAACAATCTTCTCAGCTAGGCATAGCTATACAAGTGATTTGCATGCAGTCTAACTAATTAAACCTATATTCATAAATTAAAAATTATAAAATTGATGCATTTCTAAAAAGCTCCAGACATAACTCAAAGGTAGCAACTGCAAACCAGTAGCTAGAATCACTCCAATTACTTTGTACTGAATAGAAAATTATAGCAAAGGCACAGAGCCTGCAACTTTTCTCTTTCTTTCAGCTGTTAAATAAGAATAGAAATGTTCTATACATTTCTTTAGAACTAATGCTCTTTAAGCTCCAATGTTCTACTAAACAGTAAGCATGTATAAATCTAACTTTATACAGGACAATGCAAAACATTCTAAAGTGGTGCTTCACAAAGCCTCTTAGAGGAAGCAAAGCAACCCTACTAAAATATTTAAATTTAAATATTCTCTGAAGGTTTCAAAGGCTGCCTTGAACCATCATCTCATTGTTGTGCATCAGAGATGGTATTCAGCAGGTTCTGACCAGTTCTGGAGAACCGGTAGCAGAAATTTTGAGTGGTTCGGAGAACTGGTAAATACCACCTCTGGCCTGCCCCCATCTATTCTCTGCCTCCTGAGTCCCAAATGATCAGGACGGAATGGAGATTTTACAGTATCCTACCCCTGCCATGCCCACCAAGCCATGCCACACCCACCAAGCCACGCCCACAGAACCAGTAGTAAAAAATGTTGAATCCCACCACTGTTGTGCATAGAAAGATAACTATTAAGCTGCTGAAAGAAAAGCCCTAATAACATTACCTTGAGATTCCTAGGGAGCAGGGTAGGAGCTAA